GGCCTCTAGAACTGTGAAAGGAGAAACGCATTGTTGAAGCCACCAAGTGTGTGGTAATTGGCTATGGTAGCCACGGGAACTAATCGAGTGAGTTAAGAACAATTTCATTTGAATTAAAAAGGCAAAAATACCCCGGGACCATGTCTTTCTTTAACAGAGGTAGAAACCATTTCATCACACCTTAACAGAGTGAGAAGAGCCTGCTGGCTAATGAACTCCATCGCCACCATTTATTTTATGATGGGCAATTCAGGCAAGGCGTCTGCGGCCACAAGCGGTAAGGAAGCAGGGTGGCTTCTAGCCTAGGGTGCTTTCATTGAAGACTGGCCTCTCACCGTATACAGACACCCCACAGACTGAGTTTGATCATTGGTTGTACTTTATAAAAATACACAACTTAAATACATATGACACTCTCTATACAAGACATACATACTTGGCAGACTTAACATCTTCAGTTATTTCAACAGAAAGCAACTATGTGAATCACTGTATAATAAGGGCCGAAGGTTTAGTTCACAGGCAGAGGGGAGAATGCAATCGAGGCAGGATGCTCACAAAACCAGCCAGCTTTCCACACACGTCACGTCACACCACCACTAGGGCCTCGATGGCTCGGCTTCACACGGCACTGCTTGTCAGACAGTCTAACGTGTCCACCTCACAAGCTCAAGTTTCTTCTCTAGACATGTAGACACGGAGAACCAGTGTGCACACAGCATGAACTCTGCGTAACGAGCGTGCTCAAGACCCGCCCTGGAGCACCGCCCTCTTCTCAGGCTGCAAAACTGGCAATGGAAGGTCCTTGGCTCTATGTTGGAGTGAAGGTCATTCTCAAACGTTTGGCACACGGGTTGGCCGGCGCAGGGTGAACCATGCAGCTGCAGAGAAGGGTACCGCAGCACCCACCGAGCTCCTTGTGAGAAGGGCGCTGTCAGACCCGAGACAGAAATACCCACCCCCTCGGCCCTCTCGAGTTGGTCATGTTTCCATGGGGCACAGCTCCTCCGTTAGATTCAGTTCCCCGGGCGGTTTGCCTACCTCTGGCGTTTGCCTACCTGCCTTATTTATGGCTCAGTTCACTAATGGTGAATTAGGTGCCAGTGTAAATGCATACAGCTAACTGTGCCGGTTGAGAATCCAATAAAAGAACCCTTACGCTACAGTCAGTTTCCTGAGGTCAATGTAGCCTTAACAAATGCTGTGCAACTTAGAGAATGATGGCGGCTGATCGCGGGGAGAAGCACCCACGAGCCCCAGGCTGAGCTTTCAAATGAACACCTTCCCACACCAAAGACTCATGAATGTACGCAAACAAAACCAGGAAGCTGGGCTAAAGGAACACTGGCGTCAGTCCCCACACATGCTACTTCAAAGGGGGCAGAAGGACAAACGGGCGCTGTCTTTTAAAGTGCTTAAGTAGGTAGGAAGGGGAATCTGAAATGCCTCCAGGGATTGCTAACAAATTT